TGGAGATGATAACAGTCCACACCACATAGAGTTGTTGCCAGGATTAAGTGATCCATGTTGAGCCCTTAGAACAGAGGCTGGTAAATACTAAGCATTGTGTGCGACTTCACTGTGCTTTTTATTAACTAGGTGCCATTGGCTATATCATCCCATCCCATTTCTGCAGCAGTAGAACAGATTGCTCAGAACCGCCCTTGCAGATATCTTCTGAGAGACAAATGAGATGGCATTTGAGGAACTGCCCAACCAGAGGGGCTTCCCTAGGCAGCTGAGAGGGGACTGTTCTCAGAGCAGTGAGTGTGAGAAGGGTCCAGGGGAGTCCTTGGACTGGTTGAAGACAGCATGTGACCTCCAGGTTTGCATCCTGGCTCTTCCTGGGCAAGTCTCCTAGCTTCTCTGAGCCTCAGTTTTCCCACCCCACCTGGGGTAAGTGAGGGAGGCAGGGATGGGTGCAGTTTTAACAGCTGTCATCCTGGGAGTATGAAGTGTTAAGATTCAGGATCCTTTTCTACTTTCTTTCTACCAGTAAATCATGTTCTCTGCTTAGCAAGCCCTCCAATTTGAATGGATCTGATAAGTTGTTTATTGGTAAGTTTTATCTGGTAGCAACTGAATGTCATCTCTTGACATAAATAAGCGCATTTTGACAACAGCTGATGCCTGAAGCCAGAGGACTCTCTCCCTGTGGTGCTTCCGGTGTCCTGGTGGGCCAGGAAGGAGCTGGGGCGGGGCTGAGGAGGACATTGCCCAACCTGGGCCTTGAATTCAGTTCTGGGTGGTTCCCAGGTGGCTGATCTCAGTGCATCACTTTAACTATCAGCCTTCATTTGCTCAGCTGTAAAATTGTGGAGAATGGTGTCTGCCATTGGGGATTGGTGCAAAATACTGCACCGGGAACCAAGCATGAGCCTGGCACATAGTGGGTGTTCAACAAATGTTCCTTTCTCTCCACCTTTTCCACCTTCTCCTGAAAAAAATCCCTAAGCCTCTGACTGACTCCGTGCTGACACCCTGGAGGCATATTGTCCTGCTGAATGCCCAGAAGATGGGCCCTCAGGGGCCAGAGGTCATCCGCCTGCCTGGTCAGATCCTTTCTGAGCCTCAGTTTCCTCATCTGCAAAATGGGGATGCAGTAATTACCTCCCTTGAAGGGTTGTTGTCCTCTTCTAAAGAGCTCAGCACAGAGCCTGGCAAGTAATAAGCACTCATGTGCCTGTTGGTCACTGTTCAGAGCTTGCTTTCATTCATTCATTCATTCATTCATTCATTCATTCATTCATTCCAAAGATGTTTATTAAGTAGCCAGACACGGGAACAGCCCCACACACTTGCCTCTGCCTGAGGCTGCCTTGTCCTTTGGGACATCGCAGAGTATATGGAGCGTGATGGATGAGGCTGGAATGGGACTCAGTGACAGTGTTAACAACAGCAGCAGCAGCAGTGGCTGGTGTTCACTGAGCACGTACTACATCCGGGCACCTGCGCAGCGCCCGCCCCTCGTCCCGACCGGGCTCACTCGGCTCTAGGGCACTCTGCGCCCATTCCACGGAAGCAGCAGCACAGGCTCAAAGAGGTTAACAGGCCCTATGTCGGTCACAGGCCAGCGGGGCCCAGGGCAGCGTCCTCCGGGTCCGTGAGGGGCGGGGACAGGACAGTCCCCCTCTGACGTTGCTGGGCAGGGCGGGGTCAGAGTTAATGGCACAGTCACCAGAAACTCTTCAGAGTCCCAACGCACCTGGGTCCCCAAGAGCTCTGGCGCCCAGAACGGCGGCCCCTCGCCCTGCTCGGCGGTCTGCAGCCTTCTCTTCTCGGCAGCGGGTGCTGGGGCGCAGCGTGGCGGGGCGGGGAGGCCACGGCCCTCGATCGGACTTCATGTGGCCGAGTCTGCCTGGAACTGGGGGTTAAATGCGTCCCAGGGTGTTGCTGCCCTTCCCCCACCGCGGGCTGGCGGGAACAGGTCTGCAGCCGGCTGTCTGGCCCTCTCGGCTGCTCAGGGCACTCGGGACACCTGGGGACGGTCGCCCGCCTGGAGGCAGGGCAGGGGAGCACGGGACCGTTACGAGGAGTGTTGGGCTGGCCGCCCGCCCTGGCCCCGCCGCCCGGGGAGGCACAGGCCAGACGCCGGCCCCTTGCGCACTGCTGTCCTCTGACCCGACAGTCGCCCTCCCGGGCCGCAGCTGCGCGGTCACCGCCTGCTGCCCTCGCGCTCGGTCCATCCCTGGGCCGCGCCTGTCCAGGGCCACCGCTGCGGCTCAGCTGCGTCCTGCGCAGGTCAGAGCTTCTTGTTGGCTTCGGTTTCTTCAGCTGTCAGTGAAGACGAGGGAAGACCTCTCCTCCTGACCCCAGCCCTCTCCTGAGAAAGTGTTACTGCTGTCATCAATTACGATGAAGAACTGTAAAAGCTCAAGTATTCGGGGCCACTTTCTCACACCCAGCTCTCAGCTAAGTGGGTCGCCATTGTTAATTCTTTCTGATCCTCTCAACCACCCCAAGAAAGCGGGTACTGTTGTCACCTCATTTTACAGTGGAGGAACTGAAGCAGAGAGGTCAGGCAACTCACCCAAGGTCACACGGCTGGAAAGCAGTGGAACAGAGACGTCCCCCCGCTCTCCAGCTGGTTGTTCTTTTTGCCCGTGTCCTTGAGGATGCGATCTTGTCCTTGGCTCTCTCCCCGGTGTTTTGTTTTCTTGTGCGGTGGATACTCTGGCACGTGAGCTGGTGCCCGGGCTGGGGGGCCTTTCTCTCTGCTGCTCTGCGGTCTCGGAAATCACTAGACTGGGGTGAGGCTTCCCGCTTGCCTGGAGCCTTGGAGCACGCGGGGGGCGGGGGGAGGGTGGTAAACTCGAGCCTCCAATCTGCGCAAAGGCAGGAGCGTGGCTACCGGTTTCCAGAAGGTCCTGGATCCCCCCGCAGCCCCCAGCTCCTGCTCTGGCTGGGACAGACCTGCTTGCTTGCCGTCTGGCTTTGCTGGGAGGGCGGGTGCAGGTTCTCATCTGCCCTCTCCCTGGGGTCTGTCCACCAAGTTCTACCGCTTTCAATGTCTTGGCTCAGCAGGCTCAAGGCCTGGTGTCCTGTCCCCTCCTGGCTTTGATTTGAAAGCTCCCTCCCTTGCAAAGCCCAGCAGCACAAGGATGGTCACATTCTGTCCCTCCTTCCTGCCCTCACTTCTGTCTGCAACACGTGGCCCCGCCCAGCATTGGTGGCTCTTACACAGCATATCTCGATTTCACACAATAAAGGCATCGTTGGGCTCTACAGCAGGGCCAGAAGTCGAGCCCGTGCCCGCACGGGGATGGATCCCCGTCCCCGCTCTGTGCCAGGCCCTCTGATGGGCAGGTGGTGCTCAGAGATGTTTCCTCGTAACAAGGGGCTGACAAATGCAGAGAGTTGGGAACCCAGCAGGTGCCCAAATAATGGAATAATCCCTTTCTGAGGCCCCAGAGTTGAGGTGCAGTTGAGGTGCCTCCCCTCGGTGCCCCCTCCCGTGTCTGCTGCGCCAGGCCCCGGGCTACACGTCTCCGCCTTGTGCACGCCCCTTCCTGCGCCTTCTCAGCGGCTCCCACAGGCAGGCACTGGCGTCTCCACGTCTCGTAAGTGAGGACACTGAGGCTCCGCGTGGGGAAGGACCTCACCCAAGTCAGGGTCAGCAAGTGGCGCAGCTGGGATTTGAGCCAGGCGTCACGTGAGCAGGGCCACCGAGGTGGGCTGGCAGGGAAGGCCAGAGTGAAGCGCCCGGCACAGGGCAGACGACGTCCAGCAGTGGGCCGGCCCCAGCCCACAAGGTTGGGGGCAGCAGTAGGGGGCGCAGGTTGTTTGAGTTTTAGCAGCCTGGGAAGGAGGCCAGGAGCGGAGGAGGAGGCAAGTGGGGAAAGGATCTGCCTGAGTGTGGGTCAGAGTGACCTGGGGCTCGAGCAACTTGGAGGTCGCCTCATCGCCCTATCCCCTGCTTCAGCCATCTCATCCCAGCACCCTGAAACACCTTCTCCTCGCCACATTGTGCCTGTGGGCTCAGGGGCCTCTTCCCACAGGTGCCTTCCCTGAAGCCTGCCCTGGCTGTGGGTGCTACCTGCCGAGTGCACACTCAGGGATCATAGCACATGCAGGGCTTCCCATATATCGCCTTGGCCAAGCTTCACCCTGGGAAGCAGACACTCCTCTTGAACCCATTTTGCAGGTGGGGAGACTGAGGCCCAGAGAGGCTGAGAGGCTAAGGGGCTGGGTGGCAGCACCATCTTTGCACAGTGACTCCCACCCAGGGTTCTGCCTTCTGCACCCCAGCTGTTTAGGACCCCATACCTCCCCTAGGGATGCTCACAATCCATTAAGGGGGCCACAGAAGAAGGGAGAAGATGGACGTCTAAAGTGGCAGGTGAGGTGACACACAGCAGCAATAACAGTGGGCACGAGAACAAGAGCTACAGTGTCAGGCAGTGCCATGAGCCGAGCACGGGGCTGAACACTTTACACAAACTCGTCTCGTTCTCCATCATTGCCATGAGGAAGGTACTACTGGTATGTCCCCGTTTTACAGCCGAGGAGACTTAGGCTCAGGGAGGGGTAGTCCTTGGTGCAAAGTCACAGAGCCTGGGATTGATGTCCCTGGGACTTAGACTCAGGCCTTCTGGCTCCAGAGCAAGTCTGCAGTGTCGGAGCGGCGCTGCTTTACGATGCTGTGAGCTCTGTGCCCGGGTACGAGTCACACGGTCCTTTAGGGTGTGCTCCGGAGTGCGGGTGGGTGGTCACAGGCCGGGGCCCTCCATCTGGTCTTCTGGAGCCTGGGCAACCAGCCGCGTGCCTTCCTCCTCCACTGTGCAGCCGGCTGCCCAGGGTGGAGCTTGAGTGGGTGTGTGCGTCATGGGCGCTCGGTCTTCGCCCCAGGAGGGAGCTCTTTGGAGGTTAGGAAGGGGGGCCCAGCCAAGCCCCGGGGAGCCGTTGCGTTGAGCTCAGCCTCCTCCCAGATGCCCAGGGCCTGACCCAGCTTTCCTCTCTTCTGTTCACAGGTAGCCGGGAGGCTGCCTTCACCTACGCCATCATTGCCGCCGGCGTGGCCCACGCCATCACAGCTGCCTGTACCCAGGGTAACCTCAGCGACTGCGGCTGCGACAAAGAGAAGCAAGGCCAGTACCACCGGGACGAGGGCTGGAAGTGGGGTGGCTGCTCTGCCGACATCCGCTACGGCATCGGCTTCGCCAAGGTCTTTGTGGATGCCCGGGAGATCAAGCAGAATGCCCGGACTCTCATGAACTTGCACAATAACGAGGCGGGCCGAAAGGTAGGCAGCCAGGGAGGGCAGCGGCGGCTCCCACGGACATGCTGGGGCCAGCTCGCGCGTGAGCTCTGGCGGGTGTGTGGGGACGAGCATGGGGCTCTGCCCTCAGCCTCGGTCTGCCTGGCTCTGGCGTCGTCGGCTCCAGGCCAGGCCGGGTCTGCTTGTCGGTTCCTGCAGAGGTCGGGGAGCTGAGTCTCCACTGAGACAAACTGGAGGCCGCTCCACAAGGAGAGAGGGACGGATGGGAACTCCTCTCCTCAGGAGGGCGGAGCAGGCTGTCCTCAGGCCACCCTCCCGCCCCCTCTTCTCAGGCTCTGGCCACAGCCTGCGTGTCTCCCAGCTGGCCATGGGGAGTCGCTCACCTGGCCTGCCGTGGGGGTGCACAGGGTGGACCACAGGGCCTGTCTAGTCGACTCCCCGGCTGGGAGTTCCTGCCCAGTGTGGCGCCTCCCTGCGGATTCCCAGTGGCTCCTTCCCCCCTGTTTCTGTGGTCACTTCACCCTCAGGCCACAGGTCTCAGTCTTCCTCCTGCCTCAAACCTCTCAGTCCCTGGAGGCAGGTGGGAGGAGACGAGTAGCTTTCTTCTCAGCCTCAGTTTCCTCATCTGTGGCCACCTGGGTGGGCTGTGGTGAGACTGAAAGGATAGTGCCAGGTGGCGTGTGATAAGTCAGGTTCGGTGGATGAAGTGGGTCGTGTTCTGTGAGCTACCCGGCTTCGCCGGGCGTGGGGCTCGTGGTTGCTGCACAGTCATGTTCCCAGGAGCCTGTGGGCGGCGCAGACACCGGGAGCTGTCAGACGTCATCAGACCAACCTCAGTGGGCTTCCTGGAGGAGGTGGGCCCCAAAAGATGAGTGAGGTGTGGCAGGCAGAGGAGACAGGTGAAGGCCAGCCTGGTCTGCGGTCTGGGAGTGGACAAAGGCCCAGAGGTGGGTCAGGGGACCAGGTGAGGGGCCCATACTGGCTCATCTCGGGGGCCCTGGCAGGGTAACCACAGCTGGGGTGGCCTCGCAGGAGACACAGGAGTGAGAGCCTGTGTTCTGTCCCCAGCCCACCCTGCGCCTTCTTACCATCCACGTTTCAGCCGTGGTGTCCCCGACCCAGAGGAGCTCCCCTTCCCTTCCTTCCTAGGCCTTGCTCGGAGGGTGCCTTGTTCCGCGGCCTTCTCCTCGCTCGACTGCAAGCTTGCTGAGGACAGGGACCTGGTGTCTCGGTCCCAGCTGCGCTCCACGGCAGCCCACGTCGGCCCCTCCATACACACGGCCGGGGTGAAGGGACCAACCGCGGGCGGTTCTGGAGCCGGAGCGGGCAGAGGTCATAGAGACAGAGCCTGGGCGAGGGGGAGGCGCTGAGCAGGGTCGGCGGAGGGGGCCGGGTGGGGCGGGGCGGCCTGAGCTGGTGTCTGTGAGCAGAAACAGCTCTCCAGCTCGGGGACAGCCAGTGGAGGGACACACGCTGGCTGCCGGCCCAGCTCCCCTCTGTGAGGGAGCACCCGTGGGGGCGGCTTCCCGCGAACGCAGCTCCACGCGCACTGGGAGCTTTCCTGCGCCTCGGGGTGGGACAGGGCACCCGTCAGTGCCAGGGAAGGCTGGCAACCACCAGTGCGGCCCTTTGTGCGACGGGGCTGGATGTGGCGGCCCAGAGAGGGGACCAGCTGGCCCTCGGGGACTCAGGGCAGCGGCGGCAGGGCTCAGCAGCCTAGCCCCAGGTGGCCAGGCCCTCCCTGCCGCGGGGAACCCGAAGACCCAGGCAAGGCAGGAGCGAAGACAGCCCCAGCTGCTGGGGGATCCAGCCCCGCTTAGGACCTCAGTTTCTGGATCTGTCACTTGGGACTATGCCCCTGGCCTTGCTCTGCATGGCCAGGTGCCAGTCAGCTCCTGCAGTGTGACGTGTATTTGGAGGCATGGGGCCCCATCCCAGACCCTACCCCCCCCGGCCCCCACAAAAACGAAAATAAAACAGGCTGCAGGGGCCTGCCCCACGCGGAGGTGGGATGTGACAGGAGAATGGCGTCTTGGAAAGGCTCGCGGGCGTGCTGACCACCCGCTCCTCACTGCTGCGTGCGGAGACAAGACCCTCCCTGGCCACAGGCCCTGCGGCTCCTTGGCAGCAGGTGCGAGAGCAAAGGGGCGGGGAAGCCAGGGCAGGTGCACCCTGCCTCCTGCAGGCCCGGCGAGGGACTGTCCCCAGGCTGCAGGCGAGCCCAGCGCCTCACCTGTCGGACGAGGGAGAATCAAGGCCTCGGGGAGTCTTGGCCTCACAGGTCTACACGGTCCCAGCCCAGGCACAGCCAGGCCCTGGCCGGTGGTGCGGGCCCTGGGGTGGGGAGCGGCGGCGTCCCTGCGCCGGCCGGGCTTTCCCGGTCCCTCCTTGTCCCGTGCAGGGGCACATCGCGAAACGGTCAGGTCAGAAGAGAGCGGTGCAGGCTGCAAACATGTTCTGGAGAGGTGATTCTGGAATCGTGGCTTCCCCGACTGGCATTTTAAGGCCGTAGTACTCCTGGGTTGAAAGCACAGGGTGGTCAGGCCGGGCCGTGGAGCATTAGTGTCACATCGCGGCACGCGGGCTGGGCATCGTAGCCTCCTTGGTGAGGAGGGAGAGCAGCATGTGTTGAAGCCCTTGGGTGGCAGAATCTTGCTGGCGTGGAATCAGCTCTTTCCAGGCTTTTGCGCGGCGCGGAGAGGAGCGAGCCACGGTCCTGCCCTGGAGACAGACGCTCAGCCTCGCAGGGAGTCGGGCGGGAGCGGCACAGGCTGCGACTCAGGCGGCACAGTGGGGAGACCGCGACCCTGCAGGAGGAGAGAGCAGGTCAGAGCAGGAGTGGCTTCCTCCCGCAGAGGTGCGCGGGCTGCCCAGGGGAAGAAGGGACCTCAGGCAGGGCTCTAAGGGCGACAGGAGTCCTCCAGAAGGCCAAGGCAGCGAGAAGGAAGAGGGCAGCCTGGCAGAAGCAGGCGTGGACAGAAACGCGAAGCGCCAACACAGCACGGCGTGGGGGCCCCGGACGGCCGAGGGCGGGGGCCGAGGGCCACGAGGCCGCAGAGAGGGCAAGGCCTTGAGTGCCAGGCCAGGAGCGAGACTTCCTCTTCCGCCGAGGTGCCCAGAGGGGCGTTGGTGAGGAGTGTGCGGGCAGGTTCTGGGCCTGTCTGGGCCAGAGCGGAGGGCAGAGTGAAGGAGCCATGGCCACGATCCGGCCCTGAACCCCACAGGGACCGGGGTGGGGTGTGGGGGGAAGGCAGCTTAGGAAGCAGACCGGGCAGGGCCCAGCTTGGGGTGTGCTGGGGTGGAAGGGGGCTCTCACTGGGATGGGGACCTGGGGCAGAGGAGATGAGTTGTAGGGGACACGATTAGGGTACTTTGGGGCATGGGAGTGGGAGATCCTGCCGGCCACAGGCAGGGACGCCCAGGCCGCTGGTACCTGGACCCTCCTAGCTGCCACCTGTGGGAGGTGGTACGGGAAGCTCTGGCGTTTGTGGGATGGCCCGGTGGGAGGAGTAACGTGGGAAAGCAGGAGAGCTGGAGCCACAGCTTGGGCACATGGGCACCGGGCAGGAGGGCGGTGGGAAGGGACAAGCAGTCAGGGGGCAGGAGGAGAAGCAGGAGCACTGGCCTGCTGCTGCATTTGTGAGCGTGAGTGAAACATCCCCTGCGGGGTGCAGAGAAGCCAGGCCGTGCTCTGAGTCAGCCTCTGCCATTTCCTAGCTCCGCATCCCTGGGCAAGAGACAGGCACCGAGCTCCATAACGACATTGTACCTGGCCGTGCCGACCATTGAGGCCTCACTGTGCACAGAGAGTCATGTGCAGCAGGGCCTCGGGGGCCTCGGGGATGGCAGGAGCCCTCAGCAAGCCCTTCCTCAGAGTGTGGTGTCGGACCCCAGGAGAGACAGACAGCCCTGGGGATGGGGCCCAGGCGGGACGGGGCTGGCCCCTGCTGGAATGTGCCGCTTGCTCCGAGGTAGGTGAGCTCAGGAGGATGGAATCCCACCAGGGTGAAAAGTCACTTCCCAGTCCCTGTCCAGCTTCTTGGGCACAGAGAAGTGTCGGTCTTGTCCCTTCCTGCCCTGCCCCCTCTGGTCCTGGTGGTCCTGAGACCTGAATTCCCACTCCTGCACTGGCCGCAGGCAGGCCTGTGAGTCAGGGGACAGCAGGGACCAGCCCCTGGCAGTTGGGGCAGGGCCAGATAGGGCCTGCTTGGCTATGCTCCTCTCTGCTGTCCTGAGGAGATATTTGACCAGATAGAGTAGTCATCGGTGGTACGTTGAGGACCCGAGGAACCAGGCCCCGCTGGGCCTGAAGCCAGCTGCCCAGGCCAGGTGGGGGAGGGGCATGCGCAGGCTGCTGTGTCCTCCGCTTCTACCCACATCCGGCACGGGGCTGGGTTCTCGCCTCTGCAAATGGAAAGGACTGCCGCTGCACTTGGGGGACTGGGACCTGGGGTGGCCTTGGGCAAATGTCCCTTCAGGGCTTTGACTTCTTCCATGGCCAGAGGTGGAAGGGGGATAGGTTCCTTCCTTTCGGTCTCAGAAGGGTCTTCCAGGTCTGATATATGTGGTGGGGGACACAGGGTTCTCAGGCCCACTGGTCATCAACCTTGTCTCCAGCTACCCTGCTCTGCTCACCACCCTCCAGCCGCACACTCCCGGAGACCCCACTCCTGTTCCCAGCTCAGGGCCTTTGCAGGTGCTGCTTCATGTGTCTGGATGCTGGCCCTCAGATCTTTGCAGAGCCAGCTCCTCCTGTTTCTTCAGGTCTCCACTCGATGCCGTCTTCTCAGGCCCTCCCTGCCCAGCATCTGCCTCATCTCTCTCTGCACCACCCTGCTGTACTTTCCATGAGAAACGCCACATGAAATGGTCTTATTTGCACAGCTCTCTCTGTCTTTATTGCTGGTCAACTCCCACTGCAAAGTCAGCACCACAAGGGAGGTTCACAGCTGTATCCCCTGTGCCTAGAACAGTGCCTGGCTCATAGTAAGTGCTCACAAAATATTTCTTTAGTGAATGAACGA